CGGTCCTCACGCTCGGAGGAGGAAAAGGTACAGTGGAAGCCCATGCCAAGAAGCATCCTGTTTGCCTCCAGGGTGCCCTGGGGTTCTTGGGCTTCGATGGTTCTGCGATGGGACTTGTGACGTTCCCGCATCAAAATGCAATAGGCGTCCTGGGTCTCAGGGTTGGGTTTCTTGTGGAAGGTTTCGTGTGGTCGAGCTCCTGCTGTGCCCGTACCGCCAGACTTCCCCCGTCGTTCCTTCTTTGGGGGCCTCCAGGAGGCCCTTGTCGCCACGGCCAGGTTCGCCCCGACATTCTGGTCGGACCGCACCCCGGGAGAGGTCCGTGGAGCAGCGGTCTCGGAATCTTTCGGCGGCGAGCGAGGGGGGGAAGTGAGAAGGAGAAGGCCTTCTCAGAAGGCTCGGGAGTCCCCCGGCCTTCTGGGAGGGTTCCGGAGCCTTCCCCGACGACGCCAAAGACTTCTCAGAGGGCGCGAGGGGCTTCTGAGAAGTCCCTCGCGCCTTCTGAGAAGGCCTTCTCCCTCTCACTTCCCCCTCCTCCTCCTCCTCCTCCTCCTCCTCCTCCTCCTCCTCCTCCTCCTCCTCCTCCTCCTCCTCCTCCTCCTCCTCCTCCTCCTCCTCCTCCTCCGCTCGCCGAGCTTGGTCTCCGCAGACGCGGCCCGCCCGGCGCCCCCAGGAGTTCATCCGCGACGTGGACGCCGCGGAGGCGGGCGCCTTCCTGCGGGCGCTGGGCGACGGGAGCGGCCTCGCGGCCTCGGACGGCGGGCTCGGGGTCGCGGAGGGCCTCCTCAGGCCCTCGGGGGCGGGCGGGGAGCCTCCCAGACGGCGGCCGCGCGCGGAGGGGGGCGGGGGCAGGGCCTCGAGGCCCTCGAGGCAGGACAAGAGTCACGACGGGAGGCTCCTCGCTCTACTTTCGGCCCCTCGGGAGCCCTCGCCGGGCCTCGGGACCGTCCAAGGACGACTCGGGATGAAGAGCTGGTCCCGGGGAATGGGTCCGGAGCTCTGGGGATCGCGTCATGAAGAAACACTGACGTCGGGGGTCTGAGGGGGGTGGGAGGGTGTCAGGAGGAGAGGGACGGAGTGGGGGGGGACCCCGCTCCGTCTCCCTCCTTCTCCCCCCCCCCTCCCTCCCCCCAGCCCTGGCCCTCTCGGCAGCGCAGCGTCGTTGCCTTGCACGCGCCCGCCCGCGAAGGCGGCCAGGCGCGGCCAGCTGAGGCTTTTGTTCGTTCCCCTTCGGTCTGGGTCAGGGGCTGCGGCTCGCAGGCTGGAGGAAAAGAAGACCTCTTCGAAAGAGGCTGCTTCTAAAAAGTCACGAGCCTTATCTGTAGATGTAGGGCCTTGTCTAAGAATCAGCCTCCTTCTCGAAAGCATTCCCCCCCCTCCCCGGCCCCCTTACCCCCTTGTGCGCACTGTCAAAGACTTCCTCGCGTCGTTCAAGGAACAGCCTTAACACAGCACAAGCAATGTGTGCATATATCTATACGTGTGGCTGACGTATGCGTGTTATTGAATTTTCACTACTGAAGAATGATTATTGTTGATACCGCCTCCGGTAACACATGTGTTGTTTCAATTGAAGTGCCCCGTCCCGGGGCTCACACCTTGTTTTTTTATCAGGGGAAATATTCCTGCTCAAATTGTGCCCCTGGCCCCCGTTTTATAATAACAACAACGGCTCCCGGCGAATACTTCCTTGCAATTTACAGAGGAATCGCGCTCTCGTTGGGGACTTCGTTGCAATTTATCAAAGAATCGCGCTCTCGCTTGTGATTTCATGATTATTCATTCAGGCGCCAGGAATCGCGCTCGCGCCCGAGACTATGCAGGACTCACGCATTCACGTAACATACGTGCTTTTTTCAATTGACGTGCCCCTCCCAGGGTTCGCTGTGTCTCGACCAGGGAAAGTCATCCTGCTCAAACTGTGCCCCTGGCCCCCGGTTTGCAGCTACAGCAGCTCCCGCCTGATATGTCCTTGCAATTCATTGAAGAATCGCGCTCTCGCTAGGGACTTCCATGCAAATTATAATGGAATCGCACTCTCGCCTGATACTTCCTCTCAGTGTATTCAGGCGTCGCGCTTTCGACACTCAGGAATCGTACTGCCGCTTGGGGCTTCCTCGGAATTGATTCAGGCGCCGCGCCCTTGACATTCAGGAATCAAGATCTCGCTCTGGATCCCCTTACGAAATTTATTTTGAAATCGTGCTGTCGCTCAAGGCTTCCTCGCGATTCATGCAGGACGCACGCTTCAGCAACCCGCCTGCTCGACCTGGCCGCCTGGGCCCGCCTGTTAGGGTCTACCCACCCGATCTACCCGTCTGGTTCTGCCGCGTGTTTTCTGCTCCTAGCCACACTCCTGCTACTCTCTCTGGTGCTCCATGCTCCTCTCTCCCCCTTGTCCATTCCTTCCATCCGTCCTGTCTTCCACTGCCTTAGGTGCTGCGCGAAAGGAACGTCGCAGATGAGAAAGATATGCCCCAAAGGGGAGACTATCGAAGACGAAGAGGGTGGGTATCGAGGGTTTGGGGATAGACGTGTTGAATGGCACGCGAGCAGATAAGAGCGAACATTCTTACACTGAATGTTGTTGTTGGTGGTGGTGTTGCTGTTGTTCGTGGTGTTGTGGTTGGTGATTTTGGTGTTGTTGTTGCTGGTGCAGCTGCTGTTGTGTTTGATGTATTGTTGTAAGTGTTGTTGTTGGTGGTGTTGGTGGTGTTGGTGTTGCTGCTGCTAGTGTTGTTGTTGTTAGTGCTGTTAGTGTTGATGTTGTTATCGTCGTTGTTGTTGGTGATGCTGTTGTTAGTGCTGTTAGTGTTGTTGTTGTTGATGTTGTTGTTGCTGTTGTTGTTGTCGTTGCTTGTGTTGTTGTTGTTGCTGCTGTTGTTGTTGTTGTTGTTGTTGTTGTTGTTGTTGTTGTGCTTGTTGTTGTGCTTGTTATTGTTGCTGCTGCTATGTTCGGGTTCCAGGGGCCCGTTGCGGGCCCCTGGGCCGTCAACGAGCGAGTCAGGATGAAAAGCTTGGGGCGAGACCTCCAGTGGTCCACGTTGTTCAAACAATCACGACGTCGGGGGTTTGGGGAGGGGGGAAGACAGGGGGGGGCGGGATTGGTGGTTAGTTAGGTCTCAGAGGGGGACAGGGTACGGATACCGCCGCCCTTGCCTCGTTTTCGCCGTACTGGGCCTCCTTGGGAGGCCCTCGTCGCCACGGTTGGATTCGCTTCGAAATTTGGGTCAGGGCGCACCCCTGGAGAGGTCCCAGGAGGCGCGATGGTGGTACCTCTTCGTTCCCCCAGTGGGGGGGCCGTGATCTTTGGGAGGCCCTCGTCGCCACAGCTGGATTCGCCCCTGCGGGGACCCACGCTGCTCAAACCTTCGCGACAGCGGGGGCCTGAAGCGTGTTTGTGTATTGTTTGGGGCATAATAGGCATTAAAGCCCCCAGCCCCCCCTACAACGGAACGCCCCTCCTCCCCCAGTGCGCTCCGGGCACTGCCGCCGCTTGCACGGCGGGGGGGCGGCGTTACATTATACCCCCCCACTGGCCCCTCCCGCCCCCCATAATGCCCAATATCCCCGAAAATAAAGAAACGCGCTCCTACTCAAACCTTCGCGGCGGCGCGAGGACTCGCGAGGATAAGCGACGCCGCCGCCGCCGACTAATGACGACGACGACGATGATGACGACGTTGACGACGACGACGACGTTGACGACGACGACGACGACGACGACGACGACGACGACGACACCGACGACGCTGACGATGACGACGCCGCCGCCGCCGCCAATGGCGATGACGACGACGACGACGACGACGACGACGACGACGACGACGACGACGACGACGACGACGGTGACGACGACGACAACGACGACGACATCGACGACGACGACGACGACGACGACGACGACGTTGACAACGACGTCGACGACGACGGCGACGACGACGACGACGCCGCCGCCGACGACGACGAGCCGCGCGTCTGTCGCGCATGGCGGGGCGCTACGCGCGAATGTGGGCAACCTGGATACAGACGAAGTCGGTAGTAACGATAGGTACTTTCCTGGGGATCCCCTTGCATATCCTTAGCCCCTTTCGATGGCCAGCCCCGCTCGGAAAGCTTCGACATGAGGGTCCAAGGGGCGTGCATCCTTATCGCGCATCCTTGTTATGAGTATTGACTGTAAGAGTGAGTCTAGGCCTCCCAAATTGAGTCCGAGCAAGTAAGGTCGGAGGATCGCTCCGCATGGGCGATGCATCGACGATGCGGCTCGATGTGGAGCCAGAGTTTCTCAACGCCGATGGCGCAAATGCATCGCCGACGTGGCCGATGCGTCACCGATGCATCGCCGATCCCATCTATTCGAAACCCTTCTTGGAGGCCTCTGGTGAGGGAGCCGAACGATCTTACATCATCCCTGGGTGCGTACCTCAAGCAGGCTTCCGCGGTGAGGATTCTTGTTATTGTCGTCGTCGTCGCCGTTGTCGTCGTCGTCCTCCTCGCCTGCGACCCACCCACCCACGATCCACCAACCCGCGACCCCCCCGCGACACACCCCGCGACCGCCCCTTCCCTTCAGCAGCTGGGGGGTGCTGCGAAGAGAGGGTGTCGAAACCTGCCGCGCGCGGCTATGGCCTCGGCCCCGCTGCTCAGCACCTTCCTCGATGTACACCTGGCGCCGCCAGCACTGGGAGGCGCCGGGAAGAAGCGAGCCGCGTGGGCTGGCCACTAGCTGCAGTCGTCGGCCACGCGCAGAGGCAGAGGGGGGTGGGGGAAGGGGGGAGGGCTTCGCAGAAGCGCCCCTGCTTCTTAGACTGCTCGGGTCTTCTCTACAGATGCAAGGCCGGCGCCCTCTAAGAATCAGCCTCCTTCTGAGAAGCCCTGCCCCCCCTCCCTCCACCCCCTTGTGCGCGCCGCCAAAGTCGGACAGGATCATTGGATGCGCAACTTGCCTTCAGTCGGGCCTGTCCCTCTACTGGAGGAGTATCCAGAAGTAGTCGAAA